GTTTTAAAATAAGTAATTGTATGGGAGGCAGTGGGATACGCCTGTGTACACAAGTTATGGGAGGCAGTGGGATACGCCTGTGTACACAAGTTATGGGAGGCAGTGGGATACGCCTGTGTACACAAGTTATGGGAGGCAGTGGGATACGCCTGTGTACACAAGTTATGGGAGGCAGTGGGATACGCCTGTGTACACAAGTTATGGGAGGCAGTGGGATACGCCTGTGTACACAAGTTATGGGAGGCAGTGGGATACGCCTGTGTACACAAGTTATGGGAGGCAGTGGGATACGCCTGTGTACACAAGTTATGGGAGGCAGTGGGATACGCCTGTGTACACAAGTTATGGGAGGCAGTGGGATACGCCTGTGTACACAAGTTATGGGAGGCAGTGGGATACGCCTGTGTACACAAGTTATGGGAGGCAGTGGGATACGCCTGTGTACACAAGTTATGGGAGGCAGTGGGATACGCCTGTGTACACAAGTTATGGGAGGCAGTGGGATACGCCTGTGTACACAAGTTATGGGAGGCAGTGGGATACGCCTGTGTACACAAGTTATGGGAGGCAGTGGGATACGCCTGTGTACACAAGTTATGGGAGGCAGTGGGATACGCCTGTGTACACAAGTTATGGGAGGCAGTGGGATACGCCTGTGTACACAAGTTATGGGAGGCAGTGGGATACGCCTGTGTACACAAGTTATGGGAGGCAGTGGGATACGCCTGTGTACACAAGTTATGGGAGGCAGTGGGATACGCCTGTGTACACAAGTTATGGGAGGCAGTGGGATACGCCTGTGTACACAAGTTATGGGAGGCAGTGGGATACGCCTGTGTACACAAGTTATGGGAGACAGTGGGATACGCCTGTCTACACAAGTTATGGGAGGCAGTGGGATACGCCTGTGTACACAGTTATGGGAGGTTATGGGAGACAGTGGGATACGCCTGTGTACACAAGTGTACACAAGTTATGGGAGGCAGTGGGATACGCCTGTGTACACAAGTTATGGGAGGCAGTGGGATACGCCTGTGTACACAAGTTATGGGAGGCAGTGGGATACGCCTGTGTACACAAGTTATGGGAGGCAGTGGGATACGCCTGTGTACACAGTGGGATAGTTATGGGAGGCAGTGGGATACGCCTGTGTACACAAGTTATGGGAGACAGTGGGATACGCCTGTCTACACAAGTTATGGGAGGCAGTGGGATACGCCTGTGTACACAAGTTATGGGAGGCAGTGGGATACGCCTGTGTACACAAGTTATGGGAGGCAGTGGGATACGCCTGTGTACACAAGTTATGGGAGGCAGTGGGATACGCCTGTGTACACAAGTTATGGGAGGCAGTGGGATACGCCTGTGTACACAAGTTATGGGAGGCAGTGGGATACGCCTGTGTACACAAGTTATGGGAGGCAGTGGGATACGCCTGTGTACACAAGTTATGGGAGGCAGTGGGATACGCCTGTGTACACAAGTTATGGGAGGCAGTGGGATATGTGTACACAAGTTATGGGAGACAGTGGGATACGCCTGTGTACACAAGTTATGGGAGGCAGTGGGATGCGCCTGTGTACACAAGTTATGGGAGGCAGTGGGAGGCAGGGATACGCCTGTGTACACAAGTTATGGGAGGCAGTGGGATACGCCTGTGTACACAAGTTATGGGAGGCAGTGGGATACGCCTGTGTACACAAGTTATGGGAGGCAGTGGGATACGCCTGTGTACACAAGTTATGGGAGGCAGTGGGATACGCCTGTGTACACAAGTTATGGGAGGCAGTGGGATACGCCTGTGTACACAAGTTATGGGAGGCAGTGGGATACGCCTGTGTACACAAGTTATGGGAGACAGTGGGACGCCTGTGTACACAGTTATGGGATACGCCTGTGTACACAAGTTATGGGAGGCAGTGGGATACGCCTGTGTACACAAGTTATGGGAGGCAGTGGGATACGCCTGTGTACACAAGTTATGGGAGGCAGTGGGATACGCCTGTGTACACAAGTTATGGGAGGCAGTGGGATACGCCTGTGTACACAAGTTATGGGAGGCAGTGGGATACGCCTGTGTACACAAGTTATGGGAGGCAGTGGGATACGCCTGTGTACACAAGTTATGGGAGGCAGTGGGATACGCCTGTGTACACAAGTTATGGGAGGCAGTGGGATACGCCTGTGTACACAAGTTATGGGAGGCAGTGGGATACGCCTGTGTACACAAGTTATGGGAGGCAGTGGGATACGCCTGTGTACACAAGTTATGGGAGGCAGTGGGATACGCCTGTGTACACAAGTTATGGGAGGCAGTGGGATACGCCTGTGTACACAAGTTATGGGAGACAGTGGGATCTGTGTACACAAGTTATGTGTACACAAGTTATAGGAGGCAGTGGGATACGCCTGTGTACACAAGTTATGGGAGGCAGTGGGATACGCCTGTGTACACAAGTTATGGGAGGCAGGGATACGCCTGGTACACAAGTTATGGGAGGCAGTGGGATACGCCTGTGTACACAAGTTATGGGAGGCAGTGGGATACGCCTGTGTACACAAGTTATGGGAGGCAGTGGGATACGCCTGTGGGTACACAAGTTATGGGAGGCAGTGGGATACGCCTGTGTACACAAGTTATGGGAGGCAGTGGGACGCCTGTGTACACAAGTTATGGGAGGCAGTGGGACGCCTGTGTACACAAGTTATGTACACAAGGAGGCAGTGGGATACGCCTGTGTACACAAGTTATGGGAGGCAGTGGGATACGCCTGTGTACACAAGTTATGGGAGGCAGTGGGATACGCCTGTGTACACAAGTTATGGGAGGCAGTGGGATACGCCTGTGTACACTGGGAGGCAGTGGGGATACACAAGTTATGGGAGGCAGTGGGATACGCCTGTGTACACAAGTTATGGGAGGCAGTGGGATACGCCTGTGTACACAAGTTATGGGAGGCAGTGGGATACAAGTTATGGGAGGCAGTGGGATACGCCTGTGTACACAAGTTATGGGAGGCAGTGGGATACGCCTGTGTACACAAGTTATGGGAGGCAGTGGGATACGCCTGTGTACACAAGTTATGGGAGACAGTGGGATACGCCTGTGTACACAAGTTATAGGAGGCAGTGGGATACGCCTGTGTACACAAGTTATGGGAGGCAGTGGGATACGCCTGTGTACACAAGTTATGGGAGGCAGTGGGATACGCCTGTGTACACAAGTTATGGGAGGCAGTGGGATACGCCTGTGTACACAAGTTAGAGACAAGTTGTAGTGTGACCTGACCCAAGCACGGGGCATCTCCCCGGGGACTGGCGCTTGAAATTCAAAATGGCCGCCACCTTTGTCTGAAAGCAACGTATAATGAATTATTTTACAGAATTCAGTAATTTAGAGAAATTCAAGTCTTCATTCAAATGGTATTCAATAGTATTGTTGTTTAAAGTGTCAAGAGTATCCTCAACTGTTGGAATACTTTAGTAAGTCACCATCAGTGACCTCACTAGTCTTCCAAGGATCGGCCCTGGGACCACTACTCTTCCTAACTTATCTTGAGGTTATCTTGAGATGATTTCGGGGCTTTAGTGTCCCCGCGGTCCGGTCCTCGACCAGGCCTCCACCCCCAGGAAGCAGCCCGTGACAGCTGACTAACACCCAGGTACCTATTTTACTGCTAGGTAACAGGACATAGGGTGAAAGAAACTCTGCCCATTGTTTCTCGCCGGCGCCTGGGATCGAACCCGGAACCACAGGATCACAAGTCCAGTGTGCTGTCCGCTCGGCCGACCGGCTCCCTTTACTTATGTTAACCTTTAACTTATGTTAAAGGTCTCCGTCAGGGAGTGAGCGCTTCATGTCCATGTCTGGGGACGAGGCCAAAATAATGAGGATTGTAAAAACAGAGAACGACTGCACAATGTTTGCAAAATGACCTTAACAAACTCCAGGATTGAAAAACAAATGGTTGCTGGAGTTCAGTCCTAACAAGTGTTAGGTAATGAAGATAGAAAAGGAAGAAAGAAGAGCAGAAGGTGTGGCAGGAGCCTCCTACCCGCTGCTCTCAACCATCCACCTCCAGCCTGTCCTGGCATACACTTCCTTCTGTTTAAAATTGAGGGTCTCGCCGCTTGCTGACTCTTCCCTCTATATAACGTTCTGTCGTCTATAACACCTGACAATACCTGGCAACACCTGGCAACACCTGACAACACCTGACAACACCTGACAACACCTGGTAACACCTGACAACACCTGACAACACCTGACAACACCTGACAACACCTGACAATACCTGGCAACACCTGACAACACCTGGCAACACCTGGCAACACCTGGCAACACCTGGCAACACCTGACAACACCTGGCAACACCTGACAACACCTGGCAACACCTGACAACACCTGGCAACACCTGGCAACACCTGGCAACACCTGACAACACCTGACAACACCTGACAACACCTGGCAACACCTGACAACACCTGGCAACACCTGACAACACCTGACAACACCTGACAACACCTGGCAACACCTGACAACACCTGGCAATACCTGGCAACACCTGACAACACCTGACAACACCTGGCAACACCTGACAACACCTGGCAACACCTGACAACACCTGACAACACCTGACAACACCTGACAACACCTGGCAACACCTGACAACACCTGGCAATACCTGGCAACACCTGACAACACCTGACAACACCTGACAACACCTGACAACACCTGACAACACCTGACAACACCTGGCAACACCTGGCAACACCTGACAACACCTGGCAACACCTGACAACACCTGACAACACCTGACAACACCTGACAACACCTGATAACACCTGACAACACCTGCGCTCTTCCTGTGCTCAAGGCAGGGAGCAATGTGCATAACATATGTGTAGTGAGTCCAGGGCTACACCGTGTACACCCTTACTAGGCTACACTCGCTGTTTGTGGTGTAGCAGATCATGGCCCTAACCTAACCCATGGGACCATGATTAGTCGCACCAATCCGTCAACATCAGGACCGTCGCACCAATCCGTCAACATCAAGGCCGTCGCACCAATCCGTCAACATCAGGGCCGTCGCACCAATCCGTCAACATCAGGACCGTCGCACCAATCCGTCAACATCAGGACCGTCGCACCAATCCGTCAACATCAGGGCCGTCGCACCAATCCGTCAACATCAAGGCCGTCGCACCAATCCGTCAACATCAAGGCCGTCGCACGAATCCGTCAACATCATGGCCGTCGCACCAATCCGTCAACATTAAGGCCGTCGCACCAATCCGTCAACATCATGGCCGTCGCACCAATCCGTCAACATCAGGGCCGTCGCACCAATCCGTCAACATCAAGGCCGTCGCACCAATCCGTCAACATTAAGGCCGTCGCACCAATCCGTCCACATCAGGGCCGTCGCACCAATCCGTCAACATCA